TTCTCTCTCCTCTCTCTCTCTCTCTCTCTCTCTCTCTCTCTCTCTCTCTCTTCTTCCTAGATCCTCCTCCTACTTATTCTCTCTCCCACCAGCCCTGCCTATCCCCCTATGGACTAGCTATTGGCTGTTCAGCTTTTTATCAGACACAACAGGTGCCTGAGGCAGGCAAGGAGAAAGAGCACCACATCTTTACACAAAAGCAACACATCCTTCCATGGTTAGACGATTAGTTTGCAACACAGATTCAGCACATAGTTCTTCTATTCCACAACAGCCTCAACAGCCAGAAATTATCGCAACCTGGACTGTAGGAAGACGTTTTAGACAAAGGTCAGCATTCCTCAGGAACTTGTGAAACCAGTTTCCAGCTGCCAAAAGAAGTCATTTCCTATTCCTATCGGCATATCAAAGGGCATGCCTCTCCCTCTCTCTCTGTCTCTCTGTCTCTCTGTCTCTCTGTCTGTCTGTCTCTCTCTCTCTCTGTCTGTCTCTCTCTCTCTCTCTCTCTCTCTCTCATTTATTATGTATACAGTGTTCTGCCTGCATGCATCCCTGCAGACCAAATGAGGGCACCAGATCTCATTACAGATGGTTGTGAGCCACCATGTGGTTGCTGGGAATTGAACTCAGGACCTCTGGAAGAACAGACAGTGCTCTTAACCTCTGAGCCATCTCTCCAGCCCTCACCATATTCTCTCTCTTACCCCGCTCTCTCCTCTCTGAGTCTCTTCCTCCTCTCTCTGCTCATTCTATTGTCTACTGTTCGCTAGCTCACTGTCTCCACTGTTCTCTCCCAGTCTCCTGCGTCTCTAGCCCTGGCCTGGTCAGTCCCCCCGCCCCCCTCTCTCCTATAATAAAAACCTTAACCATACCATGGAGCAGTTATGTCGACAGTTTCTTTACCACACCCAGGGTTCTGGGAAATGAACTCCTGTTTTTTAGAAGAGCAGCCAGTGCTGTTAACTATCTGATGGCTTGAGTTCTATCCCTGGAACCCCCAGAAAAAGGTGGAAGAGGAGAACAGGTTCCTAAGTGTGATTCTGTGGCCTCTGAATACACATGACAGCACCCAACCCACACATGCCCGCTAATAATAAAGGTGTTTGCGTGTTGGGTAAGAAGTCCAGAATCTAATCTGTGACTTGGCCTCTGGAATTCTGTCTCTCATCCAGCACACTTCAATTTTTTTCTCTTAATTTTGTGTTATAGGAAAGGTATTTTGGCTGTTGTTATGTCCCTTTGTACCCTCAGAGGCCAGTTCCTGAATGGACCATTTGTGAGCCTCTATGTGGGTGTTAGGAACTGAACCTAGGTCCTTTGCCAGAGCAACCAGTGCTCTTAACTGCCGAGCCATTTCTTCGGCCCCTATCCCTATTATAATTATAATTACAATATTATTTTATATTAATTTATATTTATATTAATTTATATTAATATATATTAAATATAATATAATTATAATTATTAGTTTGGCTTTTCAAACAGGGGTTTCTCTGTGCAGCCCTAGTTGTTTTTGAATTCTCTCTGTAGCCTGGCGTTGGTGGCACACGTCTTTAATCCCAGCACTCGGGAGGCAGAGGCAGGGGGGGCTGCGTGGGGTGC